ACCTGATTTCTGGGTAATAATTTTCAGTCTTGCAACTCTACTGAATTCATTTACTATTCCTAGTAGGGGTTTTTTGGCAGTGTTTAGGGCTTAGGATTTTCTGGGTATAGTTTAGGATTTGGCTTTGTATAGTTTCATCTACAGAGAGTGACAGTTGTACTTCTTCTTCAGCACTTCTGTGCCTTTTCTTCTTGTTGCCCGATAGCTGTGGCTAGGGCTTCCAGTACTGTGTTGAATGGAACTGGTGAGAGTGGACATCTTCATTTTTTTCCTGATCTTAGAGGAAAAGCTCTCCATTATTCACCATTGAATATGATGTTAGCTGTGGTTTGTCATACATGGCTTTTATTATGTTGAGGTATGTTCCCTCTACACCCACTTGTTGAGAGTTTTTATCATGAGTAGATAATTTGTCAAATGCCTTTCTTTGCATCTATTAAGATGATATGGTTTTTATCCTTCCTCTTATTAATGAGATGTACCACATTGACTGATTTGTGAATACTGAGCCATCCTTGCATCCCAGGAATAAATCAAACTTAATCGTGGTAAATGATCCTCCTACTGTATTGCTGAATTCAATTTGCCAGTATTTTTTGAGAACTTTGCATCTGTGTTTATCATTGATACGGGCCTGTTTTCTTTTTTTGTAGTGTTTTTGACTGGTTTTGGTATCAGGGTAATGCTGGCCTCATAGAATGGATTTGGAAGCTTACTTTTTTTTTTCGAATATTTTTTGGAATATTTTGAGAACAGGTGTTAAACTCTTAAATGTTTGATAGAATTCACCTGTGACTCTGTCTGGTCCTGGACATTTGTTTGTTGGGGTTTTTTGATCATCAGTTCAATTTCATTACTAGTAATGGGTCTCTTCAGATTTTCTATTTATTTGTGATTCAGTTTTGACAGTTTATATATTTCTAGAAATTTATGTATTTCTTGTAGGTTGGCCATTTTGCTGGCATGTAACTTTGTAGTATTCTGTTCTGATCTTTTGTATTTCTGTGGTGTCAGTTGTTGTTTACCCTCTTTCATTTTTTTATTTGTGTCCTCCTTTTTTTCTTGATAAGTCAGACTAAAAGTTTATCACTTCTATCTTTTCAAAGAACTGGCTCTTGGTTTCATTATTCTATTTCTTTTGGGGTTTTTAGTCTCCATTTCAATTATTTCTACTCTCATCTTTATTATTTTCTTCCTTCTACTAATTTGGAGTTTATTCTGTTCTTTTTCTAGTTTCTTTACACGTAGGGTTAGATTATTTATTTGAAATTTGTGTTTCTTGAGGTAGGCTTGTTTCACTACGCATCTCCTTCTTAGAACTGCTTTCACTGTGTCCCCAAGGATTTTAAACCATTGTGTTTCATTTTCATTTGTCTCCATATATTTTTTTTATTTTCTCTTCAATTTCTTCATTGACCCATTGGTTGTTTCACAGCATGTTGTTAACCTCTGTGTATTTGTTTCTTACACTTTTATTCTTGTGATTTATTTCTAGTTTTTGTATGTTGTGGTTGGAAAAGATTACTGTGAATTGTCTTATTAAATTTAGTGAGACTTGTTTTGTGGCCTCACATGTGATCTGTTCTGGAAAATGTTATGTGTTCCCTTAAAAAGAATGGATAATCTGTTGTTTGGGGGTATGTATCTTTTAAGTCCCTCTGGGCTAATATGTTGGCTGAAAAACTACTGTTTCCTTATTTATTTTCATTCTTTATGATCTATCTGTTCTAAGTGGGGTATTAAAGTCTCCCAGGATTGTATTACTGTCACTTTCTCCCTTTATCTATTAATATTTGTTTTATGTATTAGTAGGTGCTCCAGTGTTGGGTGCATAGATATTTATAATTATTATAACCTCTTGTTAGATTGATCCCTTTATTATCATGTAATGCCCTTATTTGTCTCTTGTTACAGTCTTTATTTTAAAGTCTATTTTTATTGATTTAATTATTGCTACTCTGGTTTGCTCCCCCCCCCCCCATCAACTTGCATAGTGTATCTTTTTCTATCCCTTCACTTTAAGTCTGTATGTTTCTTTAGTACTGAAGTGAGTCTATTATAAACTGCACTTGGGTAGGTCTTTTTTTTTTTTTTTTTTTTTTGAAATCCAATCTGTCACCCTGTGTCTTTTGATTGAAACTCTTAGACCATTTCATTTAATTATTGATATATATGTTCTTTTTTGCCATTTTGTTGCTTTTGTAGTTCTTCTCCATTTCTTTCTTGGTCTCTTGCTCTCACTCCTTGTGATTGATGACTTTCTTTAGTGTTTTGCTTAGCTTTCTTTCTCTTTATTTTTTGTGTATCTCTTACAGGTTTTAGGTTTGTGGTTGCCATAAGGTTCATATATGACATCCCAAGTATTTAGCAGTCTGTATTAAGTTGATGGTTACTTAAGTTCAAACACATTCTAAAAGAAACTTTATTTTTTATCTCCTGCTTCCATATTTTATGTATATATTGTCATATTTTATATCTTTTTAGTTTGTGAGTCTGCTTAACTGGATTTTTTTTAAGATTTTATTTATTTGACAGACACAGATCACAAGTAGGCAAAGAAGCAGGCAGAGAGAGAGGAGGAAGCAGGCTCCCTGCTGGGCAGAGAGCCCAATGCTGGGCTCGATCCCAGGACTCTGGGATCATGACCTGAGCCAAAGGCAGAGGCTTTATTTAACCCACTGAGCCACCCAGGCGCCCCACGCTTAACTGATTTTTAAATATAATGGACTTTACTACTTCTATCTTTTAATCTTCAAGTATACTTTTTAAGTGTTGTACTACCTTTACTTTAACCCATGAAAGTTTTCATTTCATAATTTTCTTCTAATTATGGCCTCTTCTTTTCCCCTCAAAGAAATAATTTGTATTTTTTTTAATTTTTTATTTTTTTATAAACATATTAGCCCCAGGGGTACAGGTCTGTGAATCGCCATTTGTATTTTTTTTATAAGGCCTCTAAAGGTGATAAACTTTTTAAAATTTTGTTTTTCTGGAAAATTCATCAGTTTTGAATGATGGTGGAGTATTCAGGTTGTAGATTTTTACAACTTTAAGCACTTTGAATATATCATATTGTCCTCTTCTGGCCTGTATAGTTTCTGCAGGGAAATCAGCTGATAGTCTGAGATTTCCTTTGTATATAACTCACTGCTTCTCTCTTTCTGGTTTTTAAACCTCTCGCCTTGATCTTTGACATTTTAATTACTATTTGTGGTGTGGACTTCATTGGGCTCATCTTTAGTGCTTCTCTACACTTCTTGAACTTAGAGGTCTCCTTCCCTGGTAAGGGAGGTTTTCATCTGTCATTTCTTCAAATAACTTATCTGCCCGCACCCTTCCTTTTCGTCTTCTCGAACCCCTATAATGCAAATGTTTTTTCACTTGATGTTGTCCAGGAGATCCCTTAACGTATCTTTTTTTTTTTTTTTTTTAACTGTTCAGCTTGGGTTCTTCCCATTGCCCTCTTTTCCATATCACTAATCTGTTCTTTTCTATCCTCTTATCTGTTGATTCCCTTTAGTTCATCTTTCATTTCAGATATTGTGTTCTTCAACTCTGATGGGTTCTTTTTAAATTTTCTCTTGGTTCAAGTTCTCAGTAAGTTTATCAACCCCATTGTCCAATCCAGTGAGCATCTTTATGTCCATAATTTTGAACTATTTATCAGGCATATTTCTTATTTCCATTCTATTTAGTCCTGTTTCCAAGGTTTTGGTTTTGTTTGAAGTAGACTGTCTCCTCCTCTTGCTTTTTTTTTTTTCCTGTGAATTACATGCAACAGCTACTTTTCCAAAGTAGAGTGATACTGTGTAGTCATTGCCTGTGGAGAATGTGTGCCTGGTGACTTTAGCTGGCTTTCTGAATGTGTGGATGTCATGGGCTTGGGTCCTGGGGCACTTCATGTTAGGGCCACTTTGGTGGGATGTACAGAACCAAAGCACGTACAGGCCAGGACAGTCTCACGCCTCTCCACATAGAGTGCACCCTGGCCAGACAGCTGGTGCTATAGTAGGTATTGTCTGGAGGCATTCCCAGGGTTTTTGCCTGGTAAGACAGCTGAAGCTGAAGAGGTTTCATTCTGGGCAGCCTGGGGCTCTCCATGGAGCTAGTGCCCTGGCAGGACAACTTGCGTTTTACTGAGCATGGGCCAGGGCTTCCCAAGACCCTTCGTGCAGGTGGCATCCTGGTTGGGTGTGAGCTAATTTGGAAGGGCCTGGGATGCTCTGAACCGGGGGTGTCCCGGCAAGTTATCTGGAGGTGAAGTGGTGGGGATCTGGATTATTCTGGGGTGCCTTGCGCTTGTGTCACCTTGGTGAGTCAGCTGTTGGGAACACTGACCATGGGTGTTCTGCTGTGGTCTCTGCTGGGGCCACCTTCACGGATACTGTGTTGGTTTGGGTCAGGGGCCTGGTGCTGCTGAAGTGGTAAGCTGGCTGTGGTGTCCAGACCTGCTTGTATGTGTGCTCTCAGGGTGGACAGGGAGGACAGTGATGCTCACCAGCCCCTCACAAGCCCCTACACTGCTTGGCAGAGTTCTGGGCCAGGATCTTTTATATTCTAGTTACCCTTTGAAACCTCATTGTTTTTTCTGTATTCCAGGGCAGACAGATCTGCTCATAGTCCTTTAGTATTACCCCCCTCCACTGTGGTTCTCAGTGGGTTTGGGGTTCCCTTCATGACTAGGTTTCTTTCTCTCTCTTGCCTTTTTGTATATGATCTATCTTTTGCTGTGCAGAAGCTGTTTGGTTAGCCCTTTATTGTTCTTCAGGAGGAAATAGGTGTAATTTGTTGGAGGAGCTGAGTTCAGGGTCTTCCTATGTGGCAAACTTGGACTAGAACTTTTCATTTTGATACAGTTTTCATATGGTTTGGTTTTGTTTAGGTAGCCAAGCAACATTATACCTTGTAGCATAACAATGGATTCTTCTACATTTCATGAATACAATTCTGTGTAAGGTGATGACATTCATTATCGTTGTTACTTTAATTTTGCTTTCCAGGAAATAACAGTACAACAACTAATGTCTCATTTGGACTCCATCAGGAAAGACATGGTCATCCTAGAAAAAAGTGAATTTGCAAATCTGAGAGCAGAGAATCAGGTGATACAGGTTTTGTGTTATTACTAATAAAATAACTGATTTCACATGTATTCCACTTGGTGAGAAGTAGGACCAAATAATGATTTTATGTGGTCATAGATCAAAGTATACTACATGTTTAACTGTAATTAAGTTTCTATGTATAAGTCAGTTTCTTGAACAAAGATTAAGGGTTGTACCTTACATGTATACAAGTCCTATGGAAGGAAAAATCTTTGAGCTCTTCATTATGTAAAATTTCTCATACAGCTCAATATAATGTTCTCGGAATTTAATGGGACATTTTCCATTTTATGGATAGCACAATGATTCTGTGCTAACTTTTGTCAGTTAAAAGAAAACTTTATACTTCAGTTGGAATTTTGTTTACTAGCTTAAATATTTTTAAATTTTGAATATCAGTCATGGTTTAAAAGTAAAGAATACCTTTTTTTTTAAACTGTTCATAAGAATTTTTTGAATATGATGAAATATTTTCTTTTTTTGTGTAGTTATACTTAATCCTTGATTAGAAATGTATAGATATCGTCCAGTTTTTGCTATTGCGGGGTTTCAGATTTGTTGAATAAATTATGCTGTAGATGTTTGGTGTAATGGCAATTGCATGTGATTTTCTTTATACCTAGAAAATGAAAACTGAATTGGAACAAGTTAAGCAACAACTGATCGTAAGTTTAAGTACTTAAGCACTTCAGAATATTTTACTAATTTCAGAACAAACATTATGAGATTTCTTAATATTTTTATTTTCTTTAAAGAATGAAACCAGTCAAATCAGAGCAGACAATAAACTGGACATCAACCTAGAAAGGAGCAGAGTAACTGATATGGTAATGTGCTTCTAAATGTGCCTTCTTGGTAACTTAATTTCTTTAGCCTTTTTTTTTTAACCTCCTGATTCATCATATCCTTTAGTTTACAGATCAAGAAAAGAAACTGATGGAAGCAACCACAGAATTTACCAGCAAGGTAAACTAGTATGTAAAAATGTCTTTTATACCATTCTCATGTATAACTGCTTATATGTGTTGTACCTGAACTGTGATCTCTGTCAGAATCTAGCTTTCCTGGTAACATATTTTATAACTAATTTCTATAAACAAAAGAACTATTTTTTGAAAGACAAGGATTCACAATTAGCATTTTAAATGAAGGCAGAGGCTAACAGTAACTATCTATTGAATGCTTATTATGTATCAGATACTGTTTTGCTTGCTTTACTTCTATTCTCCTTAGCCTCTAAAGGCCCTCTTTATTCCCATTTTGCTAGTTTGGAAAATGAGGCACAGGGAGATTAAAGTCACCTAGCTACTAAGTGTTGGAGCCAGAATGTGACCCTGGATTCTAAACTCCATATTCTACAACTGTTTACCTTCTCCTAATCCTAAATTGCGATCCTTGTTTAATCTCTATGGCTTAAGTAAAACCCAGCTTTTTGAGTCAGCCTACAAGTTAAGAACCGTTTGGTCTGCATTCCACCAGAAGAGACATCACTCTTTTTTTGTTGTTTTTAAGATTTTAGAAAGCGCACGAGCCAGAGAGGGGCAGGAGAACGTCTTAAGCAGACTCTGTGCTGAGCTTAGAGCCACAGGCAGCGCTCAGTTTCATGACCCTGAGATCACAACCTGAGCCAAAAACCAAGAGTGGCAGTTTAACTGATTGTGCCACACATGTGCCTCAACGAGCATCACTCTTTCTTAATTATAATTAAATAGAAGGGAAGGCCTCATTTTTCTTTCCAAGTATTCTATTCTGGTCTGTTCTTGGCCAGATAAAAGAAATAAACAAGGAAATCAAATTCTCTGAGAGCTCATTTCTAAGCTCCATATGCCATCTTATCTCTCTACTTACCGCTTAGCCCCTGTACACATAGCATTTGGTATTACTCCACAAAAGCATTTCTGCCATTCCCTTTAATATTGGTGCCAATTCACATTATAAATCTGGATGAGATTTCTTTAGATTGTGTATAAGTTTTCATTGTGATATCCTAAGGATTTTATACACATAAAGTGTTTATAGTTTTGTGACTAAAATTTTTCTTTTCCTTCTTAGATTATTATCATATATTTTAGGTCTCAAATCTTTTACTGTGAGGCTTCTAGTAGTATGTACCCAAAATAGGTTAATCCAAAGAAATCAATAATAATGATCTCCAGATATCAAAAGTAGTATATTCTTTTTGTCAGTTTGTAACTAAGTTCATATGTTTTTTCTATCACTGTGTTTTTACTGTTTCCCCAGTTAAGACTTTTGCAATACAAAGTTAGCCCATAAGTAAGGGTTTCTAATGTAAATGTTTGTGTCCATAATTCACAGGGACAAAATTTGTCTCATTCTTATTTTCTGCAGGATACCAAAACCAGAAGTATTATTTCCGAGACCAGTAATAAGATTGACACTGAAATTGCTTCTTTGAAAACACTGATGGAGTCTAACAAGCTTGAAACAATTCGCTATCTTGCAGGTAAGGCAGTTTGCTCTCTTGTTAAAAAACAAAAATCAGTGGAGTAAATCTGAAGATCTAATTCACTTTTTTAAATTATTTGGGCTGCCTCTTATCTAGCAAGTAGAGGGAATGGAAGCTCGATGCATTGTACAAAATGGAAGGTTTTTATAGGAAGAAAGGTGGGGCAAGAAAATTACGAGCAAAAGAAAAGGATTGTTCCAAGCAAGCTCACTTTCCCATGAGGATAAAAACAAGGGGTCTTACACAGATTACCTTCTGTGTAGAGGGCCCATTATCACTCATCGGAAGATTCCCCCATTATTCAGTTAAAACTACATTTCTGGGAAAGTTTGAAAGTGCAGTTAATGTAGGTGTTAAGCCCTGGTTTGTAGACGAAGCCTAAGTGACGCCATTTTGGGCCTGTAGTTTAACAGTTCCCCCTTTGCTCAATCTCAGCTTAACTGAAAAATGTGATCAAAATTTTAAGACATTAGTGCTGCTCTCAGTTACCATTATGTTGTTCTTTTCTCTGGTATTATTGGGGAGGAAGAATGTCCTTTGCCCTTCTAGCTGGACTAAGATTGACATGAGACAGATTAACAGGAGAAAACAGACCTGAAATTCCAAAGACATTCAGGCAATGTGAGGCTTATATGACATCCTGAGCTAAGAATGGGGGGGGGGGTTCTGAGGATATAAAGGGAAGGACAGCCATTAGCAGGAAGGTGAGAGGAGATGTTTGGAAAATAAAGGTTGCTGTTACACAAATAAGCATCTTAGGTAAGGAGGAATCTCAGTAGCTGTCTCAGGGTATAGGCTGTCCTTTCTATAATTGTAAACATAGGCATTTGGTGGGGAGGTAAGGAGTTTTTCCTAAATCTGCTGGGTTTTGACTGCTTTTAACTGAAAGTAATGGGCATGGACAAAGTGGCCCATCTTAGTGCCTACCCTTGGCACTTGAAGTTTCACACACATAAAGTTGAGCCCTGGTAGATTGTTCCATCTTGTTGAAACATCTTTTAGTACTGTCAATAGATCAGCTCAGTTATAATCTCACTTCAGGAGGCCATGATGCAGGTATATTCTTAAAGTGAGCCTGTGATTTAATTAAATAATCAGGTGTTCTGTTTCTATCAGAACAAAAGCAAATAATGGTTAAGGATTGGATCAAAGTTTCTGAGTTCTGAGGATGGCCAGTCCTGACTTCTAGATGTCCAGCTGGACATATCCTCAGCTGGAGTGGGAGCAAAAAGTGACAGTCTGACAGATTTTCCTGGTTTAGAGTCCACATATCTCTGATCTTTTGAGTGGCCCCTAGAACAACAGGGATAAGGAGGGTCTTGAAGGGAGGTAGTGTGATTTTTTTGAAGGTTACCTCAAGTTGTTTTTATTTGCTTTGCAGGGCTTCAGGGAAGAGGGCAGTTTTAGTTCTCAAATGATTCCAAGTCAGAAAGGTAGGAGAAAAACTGCAAATATGAGTTTAGAGAGTTGTAGCTAGTCATTGGAGGAAACTAGAGGTAATCTGGATCTAGTCCAGTTTTTGATGAGCAGTATTAAAATCTAATACACAGGTGTGTTTTTCTTTCTGTAATCACCATTTCTACCAAAGATAGCCAAATTGACACAAATTAGTTTGCAAAATAAATTTGGTCTTAAAAGAACATGGCCTGATTAATTTACATAAGTGCAGCAAGAATAGCAGTTGACCATATAGGCTCTTTAAACCTGCTTTGCTGGAACTATTCATAAGAAATCTCCAGATTAAATTGTCAGTTGCCATCAGACTTCACCTGCAGTACCTGTAGATTTGGGTGAATTCTTCTTTTCTCTAGGTTCCTGCACTGGCCAGGAAATGATCTTTTCTTACCTGGTAAAGTTGCTGAGAACTCCGTAAGCAATAGTTATCAGGCTGATATTTCCAAGGGGGCTTTATAGGCTCCATAAAATCCTTAAAGCTGTCTGGTCATGTCTGTGTAAATCTGTGTCTAAAATAGGACATTGCATTCAAAGCCTGGATCATATAACCAATTTATATAACCATTGTGTCCTGTTAAAAGGAGAATGGACTCTTAGAATACTCGATGGGTTTCTGGATGCTGGAGATGAATGTTCCAAATTGCTGTAAATCAGTTAGCTTAAGAAAAGTTTCCTTCAGTCTGAAAAAAACAAAACATTTTAAAAAGCACTGTTTCAAAGTCATAAAAATAATTCTTAGTTCGTTCAGTCCGATTTATTCTTACTCTGCTTGAATCTGTGTTTTGTTTTTTTTTTTTTACTAGTTCAGAAATTCTTACCTGGTTCAGATTTATGATTTTAAGATTATTGGAAACTTGTGCTCAGAGTTCTTTATGGGAATCTCACGGAGGACATTTGCATTACCATCAGAGTAAAAGAGTAACTTAAAGATGACCATGGTTATAGATCTGATTAGACTTCATTACAATGCAGTTGGTAAGGAAATTGTTTTGTCTATAATATACAACACTTCAAGATAACACATGAAGATACCAGATTTTTAGGAGTTTCACTAATTTTACTAACATGTCTATACAAACAATCCAAGAGGGTTTAGTGTCACTTTGCAATGCTTCTGCTGCAATTTACTATACCACCTTTTCACAAAATTTTTTAAAGTTTTTATAATGATCCAGAAACATATAAAAAATATTTAAAAGGTTTGAACATTTAATTATTATGAAATAGCATGTAATTATTTAGCCCAAGTGACAATAAAAGATTTCAAAGGCAAAGAAGTGGTTACATTGTTATGAGCAAAATTTAGCTCTTTTAATATTGACTAAGTTTTCTTAAGTCTTCAAAGATAACCAAACACAGAATCCTTGTTTTCTTGGCAGATGACTTTAAAGGTAAAGAAAAGCTTTGTTTACAGTTTCTTACTAAGAGCAGACCAATAGTTCAAGAAAATTATTTGCTTGCTTAAATTCATCCTAATCTTAGCCAGTACTGATCACACATAAAATTCTTTTCTAAACTTAATTGTTCCGTAAACCTTATCCAGCTTTATTTTTTACATTCAGATTTTGTCCTAAGTTTTCCCTCTTTAAATAACCGCCCTCACTTTAGGACAAAATTATCTTTTCGTTCAGCAAAGCTATGTTTTGTCAGCTGAAAGAAAACCAACCTCAAAGTAGGTTAGTAAATGCTTTTTTTGTTTCACCAAGGACTATAGCCTGGGAGACAGTCTTTCACCTTGCTCTGAAAAGAACTGCTCAGAACTGCTTACAAGCACATATACCCTCTCCCTTTTGTATCTGCAAAGTATAATCTGTTATAGTCCTTAAAACTGAAGTTTCTCTCATATCTGATTGTTAGAAAATATTGCTTGCATGCCTCTGTTTTAACTGGTTTTCTGCTTCTGCTTGTTTGATTTCTCCTTGGTCACTTGAGACTTCAAGTCAGAGAAGGCCAACATTGGTTGCATACTGCAGTTTAAGGACACAGTTCTTATTCCTCGTACTCTGACTTTTCCCTACATATAGTTTCCCCCTTAACTCTTAGAAACTAATTTCTAGTGAAAACTGTTATAAGCAGTTGTGAACTGTTTGTAATGTCTAGAAACATGTCCTTCATAGCAAAGCACAAAACATTTTCCAACATCCAAATTTACCTTTAGTCTTTCTATAATAATAAAGAAGTAGATAATTGAATGAGCTTATCTTAATTTGTTATTTTAACTTAGCAAAACATTAAAGTTTCAGGTTGCCAAAGATTTTGGAAGAAATTTAAAAGTTTACATACAAACCTTTTTTATGTTTATTTACTTGTTCTTAACAGTTATGTTCAGACTACCCACAAAACTTCATCAGAAAATAAAGTCAACCAATGTCCTAAACTTACTTTCTATTAAGTTTTGCAAAAAAGGTAACATGAACATATTTCTTTCTAAACACATGCATAATAGATATGTCTTTAACCAACAATACTAAATAATCACATGAACTTGAAAAATATTTGGATTAGTTTCTAGCTTTGAGTTTTAGAACACCCAGTCCTTAACAAGCACTTGTCTTCAAACCAACTAACATAGAGCTCTTTTACAAATTTTGGTATTACCATCCAGAGGTAGAAAAAATCTCACATTTATAGCATATATAGACAAATATAAGACTTTTGTTTGCACCTTTTCTTTATAACTTTTGTTTTTACTCACACCTGTCTAGAGGACATTAATTAAAGGCCTGATTTCCAAAGACCCCACCCCAATGAAAAACTTCTCCCTGACCTTGGTATTTCAAACAATGGCTCTCTTATCCTAGAGATGATAGGGGTAGGAAATTTACATCCCAGAGGTTTGAAGAGATCATCCAAGTTTTCTCTAAGGTGGAGATAGAATGTACCGGTTTGTTATCAAAGGTGCTAGAGTCTGCCACAAGAGCCCTTTTAAAAGTTTGCGTTTTTAATTTTCAGTCACAGGCAGTTGTGGGTTGTGTTTATATTTTAAAGACCTAAGAATTTCAAGGGACAGTGAAAGAATGCAAAACAAGTTTTTTCCTTCAGAGTTTCAGATTGCTATTTAAGATTTGGCATTTTTTCTTAAGTGCAGGACAGTTTTGTTCAATATTGTAATCTTTAAAGCTATAGACATTCTAAGAGGCATTGGTGGGCTTTGTTTCTAGAGTTACATTTCTAATTTATCAGAGATCTGTAAGACAAAGACAGTTGTTACTAATTCCCACGGAATTAGATTATGTCCTGAATGTCAGGGGATTGGCCTGTTATTTGAACTAAATTTGCTTTATGCTTTTGTAAAATCCTTCTGAAGCACTTTAACAAAACCCTTTTTTCTGGGTGTATATAGTTCAACCCTGGCTTTTCTATTAGCCCCTGAGTATTGGCCCTTTGCAAGCCATTTGTAGGAGGAGCTAGGAAAAATTGTGGTCATTGTTCCTCTCCATAAAGGGGCTGTGAATAGCCATTAATCTTTTTAATTCTTCTCTAAATTTGGTAGGATCTTCTGAAAGTAGAGGTGAAAAGGCTTTATAGTTTAAAAGATTTTCTGCTGTCCAGGGAACACAATTTCTTTTGTGGCAGGTGGTCTAGGATCTACTTCTAAAGGATGTTGCATAGAAATGCCTGAAACTGGCAGAGCCTGATTTCAGAGCCCTGGAAGACAGAAGCAAAGAGACCCTTACTGCCAGTGTTGGGTGCTTTTGTTAACATTACTTTTCTGGCTTTCAGCATTTATATGAGCAACCTGTATACTTTTAACCTAGAGATTAGGCCAGAGTTCTCTGTTAATCCTGTAGGGAAATGGACATGGAAACAGATGAGACTGGATTTTAAGAAGGGGCATTTATGTTGGATATGGACATTGATTTTTGTCTGAAGTGTGATTTCTCTTCATTTTGTCAGGGGAGTCCCTAAGGCTAGCCATTATACAAATACAATTGAGAGCTACATTTAAATAGATATTTTTAAAATATAGCCAATTTAAAGGATCCACTGCCTAGGCATTGACAAATGAGATCTATCAGTAGTAACTCAACATCTGTTAGAAGTAACTAAATGGCTTAACCAAAGGCATTGAGAGAGTGGAGATAATGTAGCCCCCGTGATCCAAAATTAATCTAAGGAAGTAAAGGCCTTTATTGCACAGGTAGTAAGGATAATGCAATGAAAACCGTCTCTGATCTCCCACAAAAATTTTGAGACTCCTCCTGTCACAAACCCACTAATCTGTGACACCAGGCAGGTGCCACTTAGAATGGGACTTTCCAGCAGTAACAGTGAACAAATGTCCCCATGGCCTGGGACCTCTCACAAGAAACTCTGCTAAGAGCTGGCATAGCTAGACAGACTGAGAACCCGCCTATTCAAGTGGCCATCAAGGTACACCCTCTAGATAGCAGAGACCAAAAAGAATATTCTCAGTGGTCACAAAGCCAAGCTCTTAGGACATAGAATAAGACAAAAGGAAAAAAAACATCCAGTTTTTCTTGTAGCTAAGCCTTGGGTCTTTTGGAGCTACACTAATACCTAGGAGGCTTATGCAGTGGATTGTGTGTTTTATAGTATACCTTGTTGCACAGAAGCTTTCTGGAAGTTGGCAAGTAACCTGTGTCAATCTAAGGTCCATGACCAACTTATCTTAGCATTGGAGTCTCTGAGCTAGGTGGCAAGCACTCTACTGGTTTTTAAGTGCCAAACCCATCCCCACGAGTTTGGTGGCTTTGGCTTCCAAGATGTCCCTTAGCAATAGCTTTTACCTCACCTATGACAAATGACATAAAAGACAAAGGAAAACAAAGTTCCTGGGATGAAATAGATCAGTAACCAAGGAGTACTCTACCAGATCTACCAAGAGTCACTAAGCCCAAGGAACTAGTTCCACAAATAGTTTCTCCTGCTCATTTTCATTTAGAAAAAGGGTTCTCACCACTATTGCTCTTGACTCAGACTTCATAGAGATTCCAGGAGACAGAGGTGATAAGAAATCTTACCTTCTGCTGGCTATATGTCAGATTTCCCAAGGATCTCTCTGCTGCAGCAATGCTGGGGGAGAGTGGTATCCAGTGAGTTTAAAGCATCCTGCTCTTTATGCCAACTGTCAGGAAGGATGAATGTCCTCCGCCCTTCAAGGTTCTTCTGGCTGGACACAGAATCAAATTGACATGAAACATTAACGGGAGAAATTCAGATTTGGTTTCATATATACATAGGGAATCCACAGACATGAAATCCCAAAGACAGGCAACGTGAGGCTTACATGACATCCTGAGCTAAAGAGAGGGGTTACAGATCCTGCAGATAGAAAGGGGAGGAAGATCCATAGGGACCAGTCAAAAACAAGTCAGAGACTATGGTGGGAATCATCTTTTTAAGCCAAGCAACTTGTTCTTTGATCTTCTGTAACTGAGTTTCAGCTTCCCTGGAAGTGTTGGTCGAGGCACAGCAGGTGGTTACCAGAGCATAGACACCATTTTGCTCACCTGAAATATAATCACGCTAGTCTCTTATCAAGGACAATTTTGGCTACAGAATCTAAGGATCTTTGGTGGGCTGCTAATTTTCTAGCAGCAGATTTTGTAATAATTTAAGAATTAAGGAGAAGTTCATGACCATAGCCTCATTTATTTTTATCCCTAAACAGGGAAATAGGGATCTGCCAAAAGGAGTGAATCCTGAATCAGAAAAGCATCCTGGTATAAATCCTTTAAACTTAGGGGAGTCAAAACAATGAAATGTCTTATTTTGCTTGTGAAAAGTTAAAGGCCTTTATATAAAAGACAAACAAACATGAACCTCAGCACACGAGCAGTAACCAAAATATGTCACTGCAGACTGTCCAAGAGGCCATGCGTACCACCAGCACTTCCCAAACTGGACTCAAGCAGACTTCATTCAGGGACTGTGGACTAGAAATGAGGAAAGGACTAAACCAGTAAACCCCAGTAAGGATTTAGGAGAAGGATTAAGGGAAGGATTCCAACATGGAATCATAGACTGAACCAAGGGCTGAGGATTGGTGCTCCAGTAGAGCCTCCTTTGTTAGTCTAGACTGCATCGTCAAGCCTGGAGTGGAACACCAATTAGATGGGTAGCTTGAACCCAAAAAGCAGAGCTGAAAATGACATACCAAAGGCCCCCATATGGCAAGAAAGACAGTGAACTCTCAGCATTTGCAGGGTGCCATACCTGTGTTTCTCATTGTTCCTAAATGCCAATAGATAGTTGCTTCAGATCCCACCACTGCCAGCCAATTCTGTTTAAAAAAAAAAACCTGAGTAAACTTGAGGATCTAATTGGCTGTATTAAATCTTTCCTGAATTGGGCAACATCTTACTTAGCCAGTAGAGGGGAACTCCCAGGAGTTGTACAAAATGTATGGTTTTGGGGTACCTGGCTGGCTCAGTTGAGAGAGCTTATGACCCTCGATCTTGGGATCATGAATTTGAGCCCCACATTGGGTATGGAGATTACTTAAATAAAACTTAAGGGGAAAAAAAGGTGAAAAGGAGAGAGGAGCAAGTGAGTTATCAGCAAAAGGATTATTCCAGGCAGTCACTTCCCCTAGTGGAAGAGCCGGGAATCTTTTGCAGATTACATCATCTTGTGGGGGATGGCAGACTTGTTGCTGATCCACAAAACTCCTGGCTGACTGGTTGAGACCACACTAAGGTTCAAACTACAGTCAGATACTAAGTTCCAGTCTGGGGACTTGGCCTAAGTGATCCCATTTGGGGCCCCTGGTTTTCCTTTTAATGTTTTGTCAGAGAAAGTAATTGTTGTCATTTGATATTGAGACCTGTTAGCTCCTATCTCCCAGGGTAACCATGGAGCACAAAAGAAAAAAAAGAGGATCTAGAACACGTTTCCTTTATCACTGGGCAGTGCTGGAAGAATAGAAGTTTAACAGCACTAAGTTTAGGATATAAGTTTAATGGGTGACTCTGCAACCTACTAATAGGAAAAGGCATATGGATATCAAAGAAATACATAAATACAAGTACAAAGTGATACAGAGATAAATTGGTTGTTCCAATGGAAATAAAATGAAAATTTTACTTTTATTCCTATGTTCTTCCATAAAGATTTAAGGGGACTTACAGAGAAAGGTCACTAAAACAGTGGCAAAAACCATGGCAAGCATAGGGGGGAAATTACCTTTTACTTTGCATCCAGCTGAGCACAAATATTAGAGACCCAAAAATTAGATTGTCACATACTGAGCTCCTCAAGTACCATGTGACCTAACCCAGTTACAGGACCCAAAGGAATGAGAAGAGTGCCCTACTTTCATAGTACTTACTTTCTTTTTATAAAAAGTTATGTTTTACTATTAGAATATATTTCTTTTTAGGCTTTTTTTTTCTGTATATAAGTATTGCAGATTATTACAAATAATAACTAGATTTGTATTATACAGACCACAGCTTTTTGAAATTTAACCAGATGTTTTTTGAGTTTCTTTGCATATCTGTACATATGTATCTTTTTACTAGAAAGTATTCCATTGTATGAAAATGCTCTAATTTCTCCAGACCTCTGTTAGCAAACATTCTGCTCCTGATTTCTCATTATTAGAAATGATATTGTACCCAACAGTCATGTGTGTGACGCATGTGTGCGCACGCACACACACACATTTTTGTGCCCTTACGCTAGTAGTTCTGTATAATTGTTCAGGAACATCTAAAGTTGGGGGACCAAAAGATATGCACATCTAAAATGGTTTATATTACTGAATTGTCCAAAATAAAACTGATTATACCGTCAGTGGTTTTCTGGGCAGCCTCTGAGAGTAAATGTGGAGCCCCCAGCCTTCAGCTGATAATACCTCCCCTTCCTCTCTTCAACTTGAATTTTTTAACATATTTTATCTTTTTAAAATACCTAGCTTCTGTTGAAGATTCATTTGAAAAAGAGTTCTAAGGCTAAAGTAAGTTTTGAAAACCACTATTCTAGCAAAGTCTTTGGAACCAGAGATCTTCAGTTCACTGGTGATGCTCAGGGAAGTTACAAAATAGCCCAGTTTGCCCAGTGTTCATTCCCATTTTCAAAATAGATCTCAGAGCAGCCCAGGTTAGGAGGAGCCTCAGGTTCCACTCACTTGACTCTAGAGTGTTTACCTAGATGGGTCTCTTAAAAAGTCCCTTTTACCCTCAGTTTGAAGATGGTGGTCTCCAGAAAGCTTTCTTTCAGTAGTGGCTGAATGTAAGGCAGAATTGAATAGAATTAAGTGGCAGTGACAAAAGAATTTAATACATCATTGTTTACAAAAATACTTTTTCTGAGTTTACTTCCTTTCCTTTTTTCACAAAGGATTTGCAACCAGCCATTCTGAACGCATTTTCTTTCTGCTACCTTATCCTTCAAATCTGTTATTGCTGCTGTTACTGTTAAGCCTTTTAGGAAATTAAAATCCCATACTCTTGGTGGTAAATTAACATCATGAGTGGATCCATTGCGTGTAGAATACCTGAGATGTTGCCAAGAAAACAGTAATATTCCACTTATGCACATACTGAATTTAATCAAGAGCAGAGGGGGAAAATGAAAAAAGATACTAATAAAGCCCCAGCATTCAAGATCTTGGGATTTCCTTAGAGAAGAAATCCCTATAAAATTATAAATTGTACTCAGTTTGGTTATTTGGTTTCCCAGCATCTGTCAGTCAAGACTCTTAGTTTTAGTGATCATACATCCAACTCGAACTAACTTAGGCATAAAAAGAAAATGTATTAGTTTACATATTGAATTATGGAAGGGCAGAGATAGATACAGCTTGACCTCAGATTATTGGAATTACAGAGATAATTGGAATCACAGTTTAATCTGTATCTTGTCTCTGAATATCTGCCTCATTCTCTTATGCCATCTTTTTCCCTCCATTGGAAACATGACTATTAGTAGCTTCTAGACTCCTATGATTCGAGTTTCACCAACCAAGAAAAATTATCGGTTTCCTTATTTACAATTCAGAAAATCCCTGGGAAGGCATGTGAATGGCCCTATATGAGTCAGACACCACTCTTTGACCCAAGTCACTATTGCCAAGGAGATAAGAGCTGTAAGATAATGGTCGTTCCCTGTGATCTGCATAGTTAATGCAGCAGATTCTGTTCCAAACAGACAAGTAAGAAGACAAGCTAACATTACAGAGCACTTATGAGGTACCATGTGCATGCTCACCTGAGCATCCTATGTAGGGATGTGTCCTTGACAGGCCATGAAAGATAAACAACAAAGGGGAAAGCAACCTAGGTAGCAAAATACCACCAATGAGACATGGTAACCACTCACAACAGAAACTTCAATATAGTAACCATTGTGTTATATATTCTAAAAACGATTGAAATGCCTCCTTCTTCACAGTAAATAAGTGTTTATTTGGTAGGCAAAGAAAATTTATCAGCTGTCTGGGTTAGCAGAGAACATAACCACCTACACAACACTATATGGCTCAAGAAGTGACAAATCAGATTGAATCCTTCAGTTCGGGCAAGGGATAAGATTAACAGAATGGTTTTTAAACAATAATTCTGGACTCAGGTACACATAATGTTGAGTACTTGTTCCACCACTTGCCAGCAGTTTGTAACTTTGGACTTGTTGCCTTATCTCTACAAGGGGATAATATCACCAATCTTACATGTTTTAACTGTGGTTAAATAAGGTAATGTATGTAATTGCTCAGCACACTGCCATGGAACATGGTAAAGAGTATCAGGATCAAATGGATGAATGTATAATTGACCAGAGTGTGTAACTGACAAGAAACTTAAATGTTACTCTTTTTCCTCAATATCCAGCCTCCCTATGTGTTTTAGACCTAATCCCGTTTCTTAAAATTAAGGAAATGAAAAAAAAAAAAATGACCTTGTCATTAACCAAATTTCAATTAGTTATTAGGATCAAATAAGATAATGTGTGGAATTATGTGTTTAAATTACAGTCGCTTTCCTATGGAAGGCTGTTTCTTGAATCTTTAGTCATAAAAGTTTGCCATTTATCTCTGGGTCTCTATTTTAAAAGTCAAGGCTGTTTAAACAAACTAGAAACTAGGGAGTCTCTAAAAGCTTCACCCAGATACGGTTTCTTAAGGGAGAACCAAAAGTTTTCAAAATGTCCATATATAAAATGTCCATATATAAAAGAGCAGTGGCATATTAACTACTTTAAAAGCCTTTTCTTCTACCTGTAATTTTTTAGAGGATTTTCATTAAAATTTCATGTATAAATTTTTTATAATCATGAAATTGTTTTTAAATGTACTGAAAAGGCAAACTTTTATGGATGATATGGATGTCTATTTTATTAGCTTAACTACATCATTTCTTAATACAGATAAGGTTTTCTCACTTATAAGATCTAAAATTAGATTGCATAATTACTTAAAAGTAGTCATGGTTAATGTTAATGCTAATGACTTGAAGCACTATTTATAGATTCTAACTGACATAATTTGTAAACTGTCATCCTTATTCTGGTTTAAAGTATAGGAAGCTTTTTAAAATTGGTATTTATCATGTCCTAAAGGATATACTTTATCCCTAGCATAATTTTTCTGGGAACAAAACACTTAAGGTAGAAAATTGGTGGGATTTCCTTTGTTTTGTGCTCTTCGTTTAATTTGAAGATGACAGTATTGCGTTTATCTCTGCAAAATAGTATCAAATGCGTGATCCATAACATGGTATCTTTTCACAGCCTCAGTGTTTACTTGCCTGGCAATAGCATTGGGATTTTACAGAATCTGGAAATAGTTGAGAAACTATGATAGTATGCTGCTGCTGCCGCGGACTTGAGAACACGACGCCAGGCTACATTTACTCTGAATATGGAAATTGCAGCAGATACTCAATACAACAAGATTATTCAGAGTACATATGGACTAAAAAATATTTTTAAATGGGAAGATATGCTTTGAGTTGGTGTTTTGTGTGTGTATATTTATTTTATTATGTTGAAAAGCTGTCATTCAAAACCTGATTGAGATAAAGAGGCTTTTTGTCTTTATCCCTTTCATAGTTCATAGAAACTGATCCAGAGTTCTCTTGTGTTTGCTTGAACAAATGTGTATCATTTAGGATTTCTTTGATGTCTGCTGCAAATTTAAAAACTACTCCCAAGCCTACATACTTGTTATTGTATTCAGCTTCCCTGGTAACTACTGCACAGTTACCTTTTCATAGAAAATAAAATCTTGTTCTAACAAAGTTGCTTGGATTTTCAAGGCAACTTACCATATATGGAGATTGGGTTTCTTGGTAGTAAATTAAAACAAGGAACTTTAAAATAATGTGTGCCCTAGTGCAACTGTAGGACACCTGGTGTGAAATCTTCGAGTTGCTATATCTTGAGCTCTGATTATTACATATACTTAAAAATTTTTGAATTCACAAATACCAGTTTATCCCTGCTTCTTAGGGACCCATCTTAAATTTATTACATAAAATGAAGAGGTGTTTTTTTGTGTGTTTTTTTTTTTTTTATGATTCACTTAAATTCAGTAAACTTCTACTTGGTGACTAAGTACACCAAGCAGGATTATATAAGGACCAGTCAAGAGTCAGTAAAAACCCTTCAGCTTATTTGAAAAACAAATCAAAGTTTATAATTCCCATTTTTGTCAGTCTTCAAGAATTTAGATACATGAATATTTAACAGTATGTAGTATTTTTTTAATGTAAAGAAAAAAACCCAAGCAATGGAAAAAGCAGTGTCACCAACGCTGAACTTAGTGATTGTCATTGTTGACTAATAGCGGCCATGACTATACAAGAGGGAATGTGCTAAATAATCTCTATCAGCTCACCTTTTCTTTTTTTCAAAGCAGTCCTCTTAGATGGGTGGTAATATCCTTATTTTGCAGCTGAAAAAACAAGCTAAATGAAGTTGAGGTCACCCAGTTGTAACTTCCTACAACCGTGGTTACCAGGGCTATACAGCAGACAAGCCACACAGTCTTCATATGCCAGGCAGGCTCTTTCTTACTCGGGGCTCTCGTCACCTACAAGTTGAGGCCTCTGTGTCAAGAGATGGACAAACAACTAAGGCATGGGGAAAAACATTTGTACTTATATCTAACATCTTCACTCCAATTTTTGTGTAAAAAACATAATGTGGAAATATATAGAGATCTATATATATTTGGTCTTTGTCCCCAATTTCTGGCACAGATCTCCTAAAACCCTTGCACTTTCTTGATAGGGGTAGTTACAAGCTTCTGTTTTCTTGGCACAAAACTCTTAAAATCCTCCAGATTTCCTGAATAGTAAGTGTGTATTCTGTATGCTGAGAGGACATGTGCCCGGGAGCCCTTCTGTAACTTCAGAATGGGGACTGGTTGCCAGATAGACCAAGGCGTGATTATAGACTGGAACTCTCAGCCTCCCTGACCTCCCAACGCAACCGCTGGGAAAGGGAGAAGACAGGAGAGGAGCTGCAGGTTGAGTTCAGTTCCCACTGGCCAATCCAAGGAACACATCAGGGTGATCAGAGGGTGGCACACGGAAGGTCATGGAAGCCCCAGGCACCTCTCACTCACACTTTGCCATCTGTATCTCCTCCATTTGGCTGTTCCTGGGATGTATCCTTTCTATTATACTGGTCATTCCAACCAACTGGAACCTGAGGAGGGGGTTTCCTGAACTGCTGATTAGTCAGAAGTATCAGTGACAAAGTGGGACTTGCAAAAGGGTGTCTGAAGTGGCGACCTTCTTTTGGGACTGAGCTCAAGCTGTGGAGTCAGACGCTAACTGGGAAGTTAGTGTCAGAACTGAAATGTTGGAACACCCAAATGGTGTCCAGAAAATCCAAGAATTGGTTGTGGTGGGGAAACATCACATAACAGGACACACAACAGGATGTTATATAACACCTGCATAACCGGACAATAATACATATATGTGATTTATGATTAAATATGTATAATTTCAGGATTGTATTACAGTTTTGATTCAGTGGCTGTAACTGACCCAGAATAAAAATGGTTTAAGAACAAGGAGGTTTACGTTCTCACTTACCTACAGTCTAGGTATACACATTCCCAGGCTAGTGTGTCAGCTCCAGGTATCCAGGCACAGGATCCTTTTTGTCTTCTTGTTCTGCTGTCCCTGGTGTTGCCCTCATTCACAGGGTCCAATGACTCACCACCATATTCACATTCCGAAGTGGAAAGGGACAAGTGGGCAAGCCCCTTCCCTTTAAGGTCATGACCGCGAGGTTATATACACACTGTTTTTGCTCACACACTATTGGCCACAACTTGGTGTCTTAGCTGCAAGAGAGACTAGGACGTCAGCTTTTATCCTGAGCAGCCACAAGCCCAGGTAGTTCCTAACACTGTGGAAAAAGGAGAAAAGGCACTGGGGGACAACCAGGGAACCTCTTCCTTCAAGGGCGGATGCTTCTGTGACAACACTCTTCTAGTTATTTCCTACTGCACTGGTAGAGAGACTGGAGATGGGGCCTGGATTCACTTTAGGGTCACCAGGCTGGATGGAAGGCTGTGTGTAATCCCAGGAGGTGAGAAACTGGATTTGGGGATTCCTGTAGTTAAGATTGCAGACTCTGAACTTGCCCTGCTAAGATTAGAATCCTGGCTCCACTGTGCTGCATGATTCTGCACAAATCCCATCTGTAAACTCTGTCTCCTACTGCTGTGCTGAGAATTACAAGATAATACGTGGACAGGACTGGGCACAGGACTAACCCATACTAAGTATCAAATAAATGTTTTATTACAGATCGAAGGCCTCTTGCAAACCACAGAGAAACTAACAGTACTGATTATCAAGGTTATCAAAAAGAATTGATAAGGCATTTTTTAAAACTTGCTTACAGACCCCCGACCAGCCCGAACTGGTCTCGCGTGCAAACACGCTCACGTCTGGGCAAACTGGTCCCAATGATGCTACGTCAGAATGGCTTTTCAGGGAGAGTACGTGCCAGAGCCCAGAGGGTGGGCAGTCTGGTGTGTGGAGAGAAGGCGGCTGCCTTTCACAGGGAGGCAGATCCAGACAACCGCCCAAGTCACAAATTGGCTACATTGAGGAGGAAGTGGGTAGAGTTAGAAAGGAGGGCATGAAGTCAGAACTGAAACGAAATCCTGTTGCTTTTTGGTCTGCAACAGCAGGGGGAGAGAAGAGAGAATAATAAGCCAAGTGTCTATTATCCTGTCCAGTCGGCCTCATATTTATATTGCTTTCTTATAAAGCTTGCAAGACAAAAATGGGTTGAATCCTAAAACATATTATTTAAATCAGTATTTTTAGCAAACATACAGGTTTTTTTTCTTTTACAAGAGCATAGTTTTATTTTATATAAAACTTTCCAGAGTAGTTTGGTTGTTACTCTAAAGATGCCCTTTTACTCATTTTGCATTTTCTCCCAACTCCAGATGCTTTTTAAGTCATTTGAAAAGTTTAAAATATAATACTCTCTAGAAAATAAAAGATAATTTTTAATGTCTATATTTCTTTCAATTACTACACTTATAAAGTTTGTGTTAATACTTGTAAAATTAATTCCTCATAAATGTAGAGTCTTGCCTACATAAATATATTAAAAAATATTCTGGGAGGGGGAGCCCAGCTGAGTGCATAGAATTTTAGCAATCCCTTTGATACTATAACATATCTCTGCCTTCAGAATTGGAATCGTACATAACACGAACTCTTGAGGAGAATTTGTATAGATTTACATTTATATCAATTTACAAGAAAAATTAAGTTTATTTAAAGTTATTCCACTGATTAGTATCTTCTCACAAAAACTCCCCCAGAAGACACCTTTTTCTTAATTCGCCTCTTCTCTTTGCTTGACTCACAAGAAGAGTCATCTTCCTAAAAACAAAGGAAAAGAGGGCCAAATGAGATAACTACTCTAGACACAATGTTATCTTTCTCCATTATCTGTTCCACAGGAAAAATTGAGCCATGCTATTATTTTCAACTCTGGATTCAATTTCTTTTAGGACTTTGTGTAAATTTTCCAATCTGAAGGACCAGTACATGTATTCTGTGCTGCCTCACAGACTAGAGGACACCTAGAGAAATCAACCAGTCCTGTCTCTACCCAATATATCCCATCCCCAAAAGAGAACACCTAGTGATTTCTGCTTTTATCTTAGCCTAGCACTTCTCAGTGTACTGCTACCTGACTTGGGCAGTGTTAGAAAGCCTGGAATCGTTGCAAGCCCCATAGTTCTAGGAATCACGTTTCTTGGTTCCTCCATTCCCTCCTCTGTGTTTACAGAACATCCCTCTACTATCTACTCTGTCTGCCACTGTTTCCAAATATTTCGCATCCATCACAATATCATCGGGACCCAGCACAGAGGGCTCACTTAATGAATGGTATGGGAAGGAGCAAGTGAGGGCTAGAAATAGAGTAGATGCTCACTGGATGTTAATCCTTTATAACTAATTCTCCCCGCATCCAGCTGGTCTGGAAAGAGCTGAATGCAGGGGCTCCGAGAACAGCACAAGGCACAAGACCCTGGGCAGGGCTGGGCAGACCCCTGAACTTACTCCCCAAGCTGTTCCTGCCCACACCCTTGGGCTACAAAAATAGTTATCAAAACAGTAATAGTTATTATTATCAAAAACTAGTTAAGTGCATTATATACGTCAGACAATCGTAAGAGACTACCCTGAGAAATTGTTTCCTGGATAGAAATTACACTATTCTCAGATTGTTTTGCAGGGCAGAGTCTTTAAGGTACAGCTGAATGTAATCGTAGGTCCTGACCAGAAGGTGGCAGGAGACTGAGGCAGAATTTCTTGAAGAATCTATAGAAATGATCACTGAATGGAAAGTTCAATTTTACTTCTACTTTATATATTTAGACTCCCAAATAAACTAACTCCTCCTACTCTCGGAAGCACTGGGCTCTACGCATTTACTTATCTACTGACAATATTTATTCAACTTGATTACAGAAAACGAAAGGAAGGAAAAAGGAGAAAAGGATATGCCGAAGGGGGAATAGAAATACTATGAATACTACCAGATAGAAAATACCTCAGTATTTCCATACAGTATTTCATTTAACATCAATACAATCTCGTGAGGTAAGGGCTTTCCCCTTTTTAAAGATGAAATTGAGACTCAGAAGCTTTTGCAGAAAAGCAGTGCCGGGACTGCAGCTGCCATTAGAGGTCGGCAACATTCGCTCATTCACAAAAATTCAATTAACCTCGAGCAGGGCTGCAAAAAACAATGGGCCCAGAGGACAGAGCCCTCGAGTCAGCTCTCCTGAAAACCCACACACTGTTGGTAGAGAGCAAAGTTTAGAGGGAGGATGTGCTAGAGAGTATGGACTCAAACCCAACCCTGAAAACAGACACTTCAGGGTTAGAAAATACTTTAAACGGTCACTAAAAAGCATTAGTATTCTAGGCAGACAAATCAACGTGCAAGGACTCAAAAGGTGAGGCTCGGGTACTCTCTGAGGCATCTAGGAGCGAGACAAAACAACACATTCCTGTTGTGGCGGCAGGGTCGGCAGAGTGCCTGCCCCAGAGTGACAAGGCAACAACCCGTCTGGGACTGTCAGCGGTCATTGATGGAAGTAAGTGTCCCCTAGTCTCTAGCCGACAGCCTGTGACTGCAAGGGCTGGCCTGTCTGTGCAAAATTCCCCCCGGGGGCTAAGCGTGGTACAAGGTAAGCACCACAAAACTGAAGAGAATGGGTTATTATAATTAACGACATCTCTTGGGAAACTAAGGACTGGTGAAATACTGAAACGCTGCGAAAGCATTTGAATTTGTACATGCAGACAAATACACATACGTGTTTGTAAATGAATCGAACATTGTGGAACATGAGGCCTACCAAATGGTTCCCCATAGCTTCCTCCAGAGACTGGGACTTGGTGTGGGAGGGAACAACTTCCCTGTTTTTACCATTTTACAACAAGCACACAGACTATTTTAATATTTTAAAGGTGGCTATTAGAAACTAATGATAAGTTTGTGCAAAATATAAGGAGCCAGGAAGTGCTTTTTCGTAAACAGGTTCGAGGTGATACGGGTCTGGAACAGAATTAACTCACCCGTGATGACTGAAGAAAACATGTCCGTACAGAAGGAAAATATGAAGCCTACCTGAAGCCCTACACCGTGTCACATGAGCTTCCCCAAGGGCCACATCACGGCTGTCTTCACTCACAGGAGAGAATGAGGGTCACAGTGTGTCCCCAGGGTGCTCTCTGCCTGTCTACTCTGAGATAAGGCGGCCCTAATACAAGCACCGCTGGGGGTTTCCTGCTGTTTTCACTCTATTCTCTATACTCCACCTGCTTTTCGCTATTTGTTTTTTGTATCTGTTTTCCACGTTCATTTCTTTTCAGCTTCCTTCTACAGAGTTGTCCTTCCTGTCACTCGAAAGCATCTTTCTGTATTTCAGAGCTATATTCTGAATTCCAAATTCATATTTCTAGCTATAAATTATGAGAAGAGCTAAGGCTATGGGGTCAAAAGCTAGAAATTAAACACTGGTCCCACCATTACTAGCTGTGTGAATTGAGACAAGTCACTTAACCTCTCTGAGCCTCGGTTTCCTCACATGTTAAATGAGGGCAGATCAAATGACATATGATAACACCTGAAAGAACTTTGTAGAGGTGAAGTGTTACAAGAGTTAGCTTTCATTACTCTGTAATCTGAATAAAGGGATGCCCCAACAACTCCCACCCTGGCTCCTTTCTACTCTTCAAACTTCTTTTGAGGATAGGCTTATTTTGGCATCACATATACTAAAAACTTCTTTTGATGAGCTGAAGCTATCTTACATGGACTCGATTCTACTTTATTCTGGCCATTTAGAATGTTAAAATATACATACTTTAGCTGTCTGGGAATTCTTATCAGTCTGCTTATTAAAAAATTATTTTTTCTGGTGCCTGGGTGGCTCGGTCGTTAAGCGTCTGCCTTCAGCTCAGGTCATGATCCTAGGGTCCTGGGATCAAGCCCCGCTCAGTGAAACGCCTGCTTCTCCCTCTCCCACTCCCCCTACTTGTATTCCCTCTCTCACTATCTCTATCAAATAAATAAATAAAATCTTAACAATAAAAAAAAGCTTTGGGGCATCTGGGTGGCTCAGTGGATTAAAGCCTCTGCCTTCGGCTCAGGTCATGGTCCTGGGGTCCTAGGATGGAGCCCCGAGGCAGCTCTCTGCTCAGCAGGGAGCCTGCTTCTCTTCCTCTTTCTCTACCTGCCTCTCTGCCTACTTGTGATCTCTGTCTATCAAATAAATAAATAAAATCTTTTTAAAAAAGTATTTTTTCCTTCTATGTCTCAGTAACACTGTACACTTATGAATGAGGATGTTGTTCTAACCGGTACCTATATGGATACATATGTATGTGTGTGTACAGATCATGTATTATACATAAAGATATAGCCATGTAGAGAGATACATTCCTTTAGTCTTTACAACACTTTACAAAGTATAAATCATTATCTCCAGTTTAAAAGTACGGCCAAGGGGTGCCTGAGTGGCTCCTGGGTTAAGCCTCTGCCTTTGGCTCAGGTCATGATCTCAGGGTCCGGGGATTGAGCCCCACATCCGGCTCTCTGCTCAGCAGGGAGCCTGCTTCTCCCTCTCTCTCTGCCTGCCTCTCTGCCTACTTGTGATCTCTGTCAAATAAAAAAATGGAATCTTTAGAATAAATAAATAAAAATAAAAGTACGGCCAAGAGGTGAAATGACTTGTCCAAACTAAAAAAGGTTGTGGCCAAGAACCAAACCCAAAGTCCTAGTCCAAAGCTTATGCTCTTAGCTACTCTTCTATACTTCTTGAGAGAAAGAAATGTGCTAAGGAGGACACCAACCACAGCAAAGTTGGGGACCTGAGTCCTTTCCAGTGTCTCCCTGAGCTGATCCACCTCTGCACGACACTCATCCAGCTGACCTTCTAATTTTTCTCTACGAAGCCGTTCGTACTCCAGCTGGTCCTGCAGCTCCTTGATAGTCCTGTCGGAAAAAAAAAATTTGTTCTCAATCTCCAGTATCAGCTAACAATTATTTTTAGCCACAGTGAAAAGCATCCAGGCATTGCATGTACAGCAAATAAAACAAAGAAATAATTTACTTGACAAGTATGAATGGGGAGTCTACTATGAGCCAGTACTGATCTAGACACCAGCGATAACGCAATGAACAAAACAGGCCCAACGTGCCCTCCTGGAGCCTACTTGAGCAGTGGAGGAAGAAAGACCACAAACAAACAAATATATAGTATGGGGAAGGTGAAAAATGCTAAGGGAGAAAAAAATAAAGCAAGAAAAAGTGATTGATATCAGATGTTGTCGAGCAGAGGACTAACACTTTGTACACAGTGGCCAGGGAACGCCTTACTGAGAAGGGGTCTTCTGAACAGAGTCCCAAAGGAAATAAGAGAGGTAACCAAGCAGACATCCGGGGGAAGAGCATTCCAGATAGAGGGCAGAGCAAGGGTAAAGACTCTAAGGTGGAAGTATGCCTGGCCAACTGGAAGAAAAGCAGAAGCCAATGTGGCTGCGGTAGTTTAAAGGAAGAGCAATAGGTTGGGGGAGGCCAACGGGAGCCAGAAAAGCAGGGCCTTCGAAGTCACAGCAAGGACCCAGGCTCTCACTCTGAGCGAAGTGGGAAGCCACCAGCGAGTCTGAGCAGAGAAATGGCATGAACTGAGATTTCTTTTCTTTTGCTTTTGTAGTTTTTAAATGGTTTGTAAGTTACTATGAGTAAAATACACAAATATCAACTGAATGTGAGTTTCGATTAATGTGTAAAGCCTGTGAACACGACCACGACCAAGATATAGAATATTTCAATTGCCTTAGAAAGGTCCCCCATGCCTCTCCCAGGCAACCTTCATTTCCCATAGGAATCCCCTTCTGAATATCTATCATGTTAGGTTAGTTTTGCCTATGCTTATAAATGAAATTGTGTACTACATATTTTTGTGTGCCTGGCTTCTTTCAAAGGTATTTGAGATTTACTGTACCTAAGTTTTAACATGATTTTTCTGGACACTGTGTTGAGAACAGACTGCAGGGAATGGGGGAGTGGGAATTAGGGGGCAGAGACAGGAAGCTGGGAGACCTATCCCAGACAAATAAGTAAATCAGAGAAGAGATGATGTGACTTGAACCAGGGTATTCTTCTGCCTTATTGCTGGAGGGTGGGGAGAAGAGAATTCCCAAGGCAATCTAGGTAGGATGTCAGGTTCCCAGGAGGGTGATCTAAGAGCATTCGGCAGTAGCTCCGGTATGGAAGTGTGCGGGGCTGAGACTGAGAATAGGGAAGAAGAATGCCCACTGTGCAAGCCTAGAATTCAGCAAATAAGAAGGGAAAAATCATTCCCAGGACACAGTAATACAACCATGCTTTGTCGTATTTTGACTCTGATCTAACTAACAGATAACAACAAAATCAAGAGGACATCCCTCAAACCAATACTTACCCAGTTTTTCTTGACAATTAGACCTAAAAGCAGGAATTTGTACCTAAAGAATATGTCTTAAGATGTACTCAACACGAAGTGGAGAACCAATGCTAGAGAAGTATTAAAGCTCACTCAGAAGACACACTTTAGTCTCAGCTGAAGTGAAAGTACATTCTGGCTCAAAGGCAAAGCGATCTTGAAAAAAAGAATCTGTTCAAAATCACATCAATTGTATAACCACTTCACAGTGAAATGCTATTGTTAGAATTAAAAGTTCCGAACCATAGTCATCTTAGATAACAGGTTTGGAGTCCAACAGACTCAGGTTCAAATTCTGGCTCCCCCCTCCCACCCTTCCAGTCCAACTGGATAGGAATGGTTAGAGGCGGTTGGTTTCAATAGCCATGGTTTCAAAAAAAAAAAAAAAAAAAAAGTCTTGGGGCTCCTGGGTGGCTCAGCCAGTTGAGCATCTGCCTCTTGATTTCAGCTCAGGTCATGAGCTCAGGGTCCTGGGACTGAGCCCCATGTCGGGCCCCCAGCTTAGCAGTTAATCTGCTTGCCGTTCTCCCTCTTCCTCTCCCCCTACTCATGCTCACTCACTCTCTAAAATAAATATATTCTTTTAAAAAGTCGTAACTCTGGAGTTTCAGTTTTATAAGATGAAGAGAGTTCAGGAGATTGGTTGTACAAAACTGTAGAAGTACTTAACACTACTGAATTGTACACTTAAAAATGGTTAAGAGGATACATTTCATGTTATGTATATTTTACCACAGCTAAAAATACTCTTAACACCTTCTCTGTCTGGGGCCTTAAGAGAAAAACTGGATAGAACCTTACATTCTTTGCTAAGGATGGAAAAACAAGTTGTTCATCAACAAACCTTCACACAGAATTTAGAAAGGTAATTAAAACAAACCATTTGAGTTTTGAGGACATTACTTTTCAGACTCAAGCTGGTTTTTCTTCTGCTTTAGATCTTCTTCTGTTATCCCTCCCAGGTGTTTAAAGTTGCTCTCAGCAATTTCCAGCATGTGTCTCAATTCAACAATTTTCTTATAAGCTCTCACTGCAAGACAAATTGAATACAAACCTAGATTAGACCGACAACAACTCGTATGCTCACAGGATGCTGGTCCTGAGTATGTGCTTCTGCTAGAGCCGGTGCTGAGTGCTCTGGGCAGGGGGTGGAAGGAAGGTGGCATATACATAGAAGGGGAAATATCAGTAACAAAATATCAGAATAAACAAGCACTTAAAGACCTACGTGGAGGACTCTTTTCCTGCTATTAGAGGATGTATCAATTGATACAGCTATTAATACTATAAACAGGAAGCTTTAAAGACGACCGCGGTTTCTTACGATTCATGGTACATTACAAGACCATGCATAGTCTACTTTATATAAGAAAATTAGAAAAACTAGAATATGATTGATATATTTAAAATAAGCCAGACCTAACCCAGCCCCCAATTTTATGATTAATCACTTGTAATATCTATTTATGCAAGAGAACACTGAGAGAAAGAAGTATTGAGAGCTGCTTTTAGCTATTATCCAACTACCAAAACTAGGATTTTTCTATTCTTTGTGGCAGTGGCTCTTAACTTGGGATGACTTTCTCCCCCAAAGGACATGTGGCAACATCTGGAGACATTTTTGCTTGTCACACTTGGGGGATGGAGAGAAATAGACTAGTGGCATCTAGAGGCTTGGAACGCTACTAAAATCTTAAAACACAAAGGAGACTCCCCCTCAACAAATAAGCATCTGGCCCAAAATATCAATAGTGCAGAAGTTGAGAAACCCTCCTTTATGGGGCCAGGTTAGCAAGTCACAGCCTCTTCTCCCTAACACTTAACACTGTGATTTATCTCTCAGTAGGCTATAGAGCTGCAGGTTCCAAACTGCATATATCAGAATCAACTGGGGTACTCTTTAAAAATATACATTTGTGTCCTGTACCAGACCTACACATTCAGGCACTACTGGTACTTAGTAAAAGTCCCTTAGACAATTTTGATGTGCAGACAGGTTTGGAAACCACTGTAACCACTAACAACCAAGTAGAGACAATTAAAAAAAAAAAAGTTACAGAAGAAGAGATCAAAAGAACTGTGGCTATTTAGCTTATATAATAATTCTTTAAAAAATAATATTAATTCTCGGGGCACCTGGGTGGCTCAGTGGGTTGAAGCCTCTGCCTTCAGCTCAGGTCATGATCTCAGGGTCCTGGGATCGAGCCCCATTGGGCTCTCTGCTCAGCGGGGAGCCTGCTTCCTCCTCTCTTTCTACCTGCCTCTCTACTTGTGATCTCTGTCAAATAAATCTTTAAAAAATAATAATATTAATTCTCTAATATTTGAAGGCTATGTTGTGAAAGAGCTATTCTATAGAGTCATAAGAGGTAAAAGGTAGGATTAAATGAGATTAGCTCCAGGAAGAGACATTTTAACTCAACAAAGGAGAAACATTTCAGCAGAAACAGTAAGAGCTATCATGTATTTGTGGACACTATACTAATTTCCTTATACATTTTAATCCTCACAAACACTGTTAGATGAAAATGGGACCCCTGAGAAATAATGAGTATCTTGTCACTGAAGGTGACTAAGTGGATGATGGATGACATGTGACAGGAATGTTGAGTCAAGAGTCAAACTTCAAATGGAAATAGGGCTCTATGATACCATATCCTTAAATATAATTTACTAAAAAATGCTTTGAATTAAGGCATAGTTCCAGGAATTCTGGGATGACAAGAAATCCAGTCTCCTGTAGGTGCTGACAAAACCTAGTATCCCAAGAAGAGGCCATCTTGTCCTTTGGGTTTTGCTCTGGAATAAAATTAAATTGGGACAAGAAGACAGCACATGATTTCATACCTTCACCATCTGCAAACACCCTGGGCAGCTATCAGTGAGCGTCACTGTACAGCAAGGGGCTAAAAATAGAATTTTATCAAACACACCACAATAGGATACTGTTCTAGTCACATCTTTGCTCTTTTCTAAAACATCTTTTCAAAATTTTGTGATTCACTGACAATGATCCCCTTAAAACATCTCTTACTCAAATAATTTCAAAAGTAAACTGAAAGTCTACAAATCAACCACTCATTTTCTGAGGTCCTAAGTCCTTGCTAATTCTCAATAGAATCACCAAAAAGTAACTTAAGCACAAATAAGAAAATAAAAAGTAGATAAATCGAACTTCATCAAAATTTTAAAATTTTGCAAGATTCTAGTCCAAGATAGCGATGAAAGACCCTAAACTCACCTCCTCCTCAGACACACTAGATTTACACCTATTTATAGAGCAGTTGCTCCTGAGTCAGAACCGAGGGCTGACTGAACAGCTTCTGCACAAAGATGGAGAGACCACGTAGAGAACAGCGAGAGAGACAGAGACACTGTGAAGGGAATCCTCATTCCTGATGTTGTGAACTACAGAGGGAAGGGACTACCTACTGAGGAACAATGAGCAGATTCATCTGCCCAGAGGCATAGAAAAAAAGGCAAAGTTTAAAGGGGCAAGTAGAATTAGAATCCAAACTGTCGCGTCAAACAGTGGAGCAGCTGTTGGAACTCTCTCTGAATCAAAACGGTTGGCAAGCTGCAGAGCTCACATTCCCACTCCACCTTGAGAGCACAGATGGAAGCAGGGTCTGATGGCCATAGCCAGCCTGTCCCCTCAGTAAGCCTGGGCCCCTAGCCCACACCAGCCCCACCAAGGCGGGCTCCTTGTGGTGGTGCCCACCAGGACACTCTGGTCCATACTCACTATAGCTCCAGCCACCTCGCCAATGTGTCACAGACTCAAAGTGCTCTAGAACATCAAGACCCATACCACGCTGGCTCAGGATGACTTGCTTGAGAATCCCCAGCACAGTGCAAGGAACCCCTTGGCCTGCATCCACACCAGCTTCAGCCGCTCAACCGAGGAACCCCCTGGACAGAGTACCTTGGGGCATCCTGATTTGCACCCACTTCAGTCTCAGCTCTCCTGACAGGACACACTCTGTACAGAGAACAGTGGGACACCCTGCCTTGCACCCACTTGAGCTCTACCTGTCCTGCCAAGGGGCCCTCAATGCAAAGAGCCCTGAGCCAGCTGCCCTCTGCAACAGGAGCCCCAGGAATACCCTGCCCTGCACCAACCCCTACTCTGCCCATGCCACCAGGGCAGCCCCAGCAGAGTGCTCTAGGACCTACAGCCAGCCAGCTAAAGTCACCAGCCACACACACACAACACAAGGGACATCCCTACATAAGGCCATTCCTTCAAGTTTAAGAGAAGTAGCTGTTCTGCCTAATTCATAGAAACAAACATAGAAAGCCAAGCAAAATGAGACGGAAGAGAATGAGTCAAATTAAAGAACAAGATAAAACTGTAGAAAAAACCTAAATGAAATGAGGATAAATAATCCACCTGATAAATTGTTCAGAATATTGGCATAAAGATGCCCATCAGACTGAAGAGTGGATGAACTTGGTGACACCTTCAACAAAGAGAGAAAATATAAAGAAGAACCAATCAGAGTTGAAGAATATAATAAATGTGATTAAAAAAAATACACTAGAGAGAATCAACGTTAGATCAGAGAACACAGATCAATAATCTGGGAGACAGGGTAAAGGAGAGCACCCAAGGTGAAGAGCAAAAAGGAAAAAGGACTTTAAAAAATGAGGATAGGTTAAGGGATCTCTTGGACAACATCAAGCGAACAAATATTTGCATTATAGGGATCCTGGAAAAAAAGAGCTAAAAAGACAGAAAACTTACTGAAGAAGTAATAACTAAAAATATCCATAACCTGGGGATTGGAAGAAACATCCAGGTTAGGGAGCTCAGAGTTCTTAGAAACATGAACCCAAAGATGTCCACACCATGACACACAATAATTAAAATATCAAAGATTATAGAGAGAAAGCTGGGAAGATAGTGAAAGAAGAGGGCCCTAAGCTCACCTCGTCCCATGGATACAATTAGGTAACACTACATCAGCATAAATAACCCAGAAAAAGAACCAGAGAATAGCAGAACAAACTCCACAACTAAAGGTAAAGAATAGGACACATCCAAGAGGGCAGGAAGGGAGGAGACACAGTGGAGAGCAAAATGGACCAAAACCATCCACAGTCAGGAGGGAGACATCCGCCCTGAGAATGGCTAGAAGGTTTATTACACTGGGGAGTCTACAGGAGGAAGACGAAACCTCACAACATTTGGCACTGAAAGCCAGAGGGGCTGAATTTTGTGAATTCTAAAAACCAGAGCAACTTCAAGCACAGAATTTTTAAAATCTGCAGGCTCAGTTCTGGAAGAGCCTGGAGAGTGATAAGAAGCTGAGTCCTCCCCCTTAGAGAAACAGCAGGACAAACAGCCTGCAGATGTATCACTCGGAAGCAGCAGCCTGAAAAACCCCAGGGGCACATGCGAGGGACAGTTATTTATTCCCATCAGAGACAGTCCTGGAGGGGTAGGGAAGGGACTCTCTTACAGGAAGAGCTTTCCAGAAACAAAGGAGCTGGAAGGCATATTCTCCCTCCCTTGCCCCCCAGCATAAAAACAAAGCCACCCTCTAGAGCCTGCAGAAGCCAGCACAGGGCCAATATTCAGTACCTAACTTGCCTACACCAAGCCCCACCTTCCTATGCATCAGTGGATCTGCCCTTCTCAGTTACTTTTTGCTTCAGTCCCCTCTCCCAGAAGACCTGCAAAAATCTTGCCAACACCATGTCATCCAACCAATGAGTGTTATGGGGCCTTGATCCTCCCAGTAGCAGCAGGTCTCATTCTGCAAGCAGACCTGAGCTCACCTTGTTAAAATTGTACACCTCACCCTGGCTAGAGACCAAATGATGTCCACAGCAAGCAAAGTGAGCCTCGGCAGATGAATGAACTGAAGGAAAAAGCAGCCAGGACATAACAGCAGGGTGCAGGCAATACACCAAGGAGACACCCTCTGAGGCCAGGTTCTGGGGAACAGGGGATGCTGCACTGCAAGGCACTATAGGACCTATCCTTCTTAAAGCCATTATTTGCAAGAGCAGGAAACATAGCTG